ATGATGATGATAAGCTGCAAGCTGCATGGAGCAGGCAGCCACTGCTGCTCACTGTCCTCAAAGCACAGCTTCTGACGGCTGGTGCCATTACATGATGTTTCCATTGCCCTATCAGTGCAATCTAGGATTATCTTTCATTGCTGCTAAAATGTGAATCTGAGCAGTGTCAATACTTAGCATAACTAATTCATATGTTTTGTGAGTGCATATTTGACTCCAAATATGAAATGTTATTGGGACAGAAAAGAAAATACTGGCAGTTAAGATGCTCTATCAGCTTATTCTCTATCTTTCATTTGTGGTTTTGTATGTGGTATAATTGTGTTTCAGCATATATGCAAACAAAACACAAATGTCTCATCTAAGATGAGACACGCTATTGGACAGTAAGTCTGATTCAGACTTGGATACAGAAATGAGTGGATGCTATGTCTTATCCAAATATAGATATTTACATTGCAAAAGGCAGCTGCCATGTATTTTCTGACAGAAGCAGAAGAATACATTAGTGTTCATCTTTCTTATTTTTTACACTGTAGATAGGCAGTGTGGATTTCTCAATACTTTAATGCTTGTTATGTTTTTATGGGAAGGGAAGGGAAGGGAAGGGAAGGGAAGGGAAGGGAAGGGAAGGGAAGGGAAGGGAAGGGAAGGGGCACCCAGATAAAATTATTTTGAAATGGAGTAAATTCATATGATAGTGTGATGAAAGCCTTAGCTTTTGATGTGGAGCTTCATTCAGGGATTCTATACAGTCACAGTCTCCTTGGGCTTTTTAATCCAGTTGGCAGCTTTATTCTTTCAAATTGTCTGTGTTCAAATTTTGTAGCCAGAGAGTGCAACATGGACTATTCCAGTTGTATTTAAGGCCTGACCGGCATCCTCAGACAGTACTTCTCTTGGGAATATAAGTAAGGTTTTGATTTAAGTGGATGAGTGTTGCAAAGGTCATACTTTAAACTGGTACATTTGTGTCAAACTGGTATAAATATGTGTTGTATGGTTTCTCCCCTCTGTTTAAATAAGGCAGAGTTCCTATTTATTCTGTTTATATCTCATAGCTTCAATGCACATGCTCAAGATCACTCAGCTGGTATTCATGTAAAAGTCTAGAATGACCTAGAAAGTCTTAATTTATGTTTACTATTGCATTTAGAAAGACAAACCTTGAGGACCTTCCCTGTGAAGCTCCAGAGTGGCAAGTCCCTACTCTCCTCATGGTCTCGCAAGCTTGGGATTTCCTTCTCCATAATGGATATCATGACTGTTTTCTGACCACTATAAAAAATATCCACTCTTAACTGTATCCAGATAGGTCTGCAGAATATCTCTCTAGTTTCTTCTCTTATTAGATGCTATATTAAATTATGACAGTTTAATTATGAAGCAAAGGTTATGCAGTCACCCTGTCTTATCCTTGTGTTAATCTTCCTGCCTGCTTCTCTGTCTGTCCATGCATCTCTAAGTTCCTTATTAATAGGAGAAAAGTTAATTACTGTTCTCTGTGACTGGGACAGAAGAGACAAATTGATGCCAATCCTGAGGAAAGGAAGAAGAATGTTTGTACTGAACACGTTCAACTAACTTCTGACTTAATACAGCACTTTCATCCCTTCCTCAGGCTGGAGATCAGCGTAGGTTACATGGTGTGAGTTCAAGTGTCTTATAGGAAATGTTAGGAAGAAAAATAAATTTACAGAAGTCTAGGCTTCACCACTGGGCTGTGGCTACTGGTTTGCAATGTGGTGTATAATCTTTGGTCTGCTAAAGAAAATTTGGCTTGTTTTTTATGTAACAGTCATTCATCTCATGCGCATGTATTAGAAGTGTTCTTTGGTGTGGAGAATTGATCTTTTTAAATTTTGTGGCTATGTGAAAAATATTCTGCTTTCAAACCTGTATTTCCTTTGAAAAGTGAAGATGTGAACAAGTATTCCAGGCATTATAGTTAAGAGAGTCTAACACTGATGTAAACAATTTCTTCTAACTTTAAACACTAATACCTCTATCTATATTTAGAAGCTTGTGACATATTGCAGTATTTACACTCCCTCTTGCTGCTTCTGTATACAGATGTGTGGCACTATCCTGTCTAGAATCCAGACAGAATGACCCATCAGCTTCCATGTCATCTAGAGACAGGAGGGCACTCATACTTTGCAGTGTTTATTACACTGTAGTACACTGTGTATCAATTGCATTTTGAATCACATGTTCTTCCTGTTCTATACAAAAATTACCACAGCTTCTTTGGACATGTCTGGTCCATTTTTGACCACTCCACCTTGTCCAGATTTTCTGACCCAAAGTGGATCAAAGATTGCTCACCACCTTTTACAATTTTCACAATTACACTGCAGTTCAAGAGGTCTGGTGAGGGCTAAATTATTTTGTGAAAGCTGTGGGTATCTGTGCTTTCAGTATCAAATTCACCAAAATTATAATATCTGAAATTGTTGCTCTTGACACAAGGGAGATTTGAAAAGTGAAAATTAAGTCCTGGCTTGATTTCAGTACTTTAAATTACTACTTAATCATTCCTCTGCTACAGAATAGCAAGCTACAGTATGACATCAGTGTTCTTCAGTGAAATGCAGTCCAGAAACAACTCAAGTAGAATCAAGTTTGAAAATGAGAAAAGTGGGATCATGTTATTTTACATAAAATCAAAATAGGATCCTGCAGGGCAGAAAGCCAAGAAGATGTAGCTGTTGCCTTTTATGAGTGCCTCAGCGTCCAAGAAGTGGGAAACAGGCTAAATGGGAAGAACAGGAAGTACCATTTACAATAAAGAATCCCACAAGAGATTTTGAGGAGGACAATCTTATTTTCATATTTTCTTGCCAGTCTGAACTAAACTGTTAGTGTGTATGATTCAGGAGCTATCTGGTATTCTGAGGTACTGGTGAATGTTTTGTGCATTCACATCATGTATTGGGCATTCAGAGTGTTTACCACTGACAGATTCTAGAAAGAGCTGTCTCCATGTCTCCACTGTCTTATTTACAGGTAGAAACAACTAAATATTTTTGTCCTTTGTCCAGTGCTGCTGCTACCTGTGAACACTTTCATCTTCAGAACTCTGCCCTTTCATAATTTCCAAAGGTGCAAATTGGACTAGATCAGTAAAAGAATAGTTTTATGTTTTGAGCTGGGCCCCCTTTAAGTTTTAAAACAAGCTAAAAATGGAGTAGCTCTATGCAAATAATAAAAAGATCCTTTATAAAAGATAAGAAATTAAAGGATTACTGAGAAACATTTAAGCCAGCTGTCACATCAGATAATGCCATTTCATAGAACTCAAAGACAAAGAGCATAATTTTCCTGGAATTGAAGTAGCATAGTCACACTCTCTTTCAGTGGAGAACAGGATTTAAAAAAAAAAGAAAAAAAAGGCATTTGGCTTATCTTCTGCTAAAGCCTTTGTGTAATTCATTAAGCAACCCTTATCTAAAATTATAGTGTAGGACATTTGCCTATGTTTTCCTGACTCAATGAAAACATAAAGAGGTACTAAACCCAGATGGTCATTAACTCTCCTGTTAATGCTCTGGGCTGATTCATGTTGCCTATTATACCTGATTGGATTTGGCTTCCCTGGGCAATTAAAGCCTCTGAGTTCCTCCCATGGAGGACATGTTTCTTTTGGTTTGTTCTAAGAGTCAGGCTCATACAATTTTTATTCAGTCTGGACCTGTGGTTTCACCTGAAGCAACACCCTGTTCCAACCATTCCTGCAAAGACTGTGCTCAAAGTGCAGATTTCTTGCACAGGGTGTTTAAAAATCCATTTTTTTATTACAAAAGGAATAAAAGAGATGATAATAAAAATAGTTACACAGTTATTTAACATCCTGATGATCTTGAATATTGGGGAGTTTTATTTCATTGGTACAGGCTGATTGTACAATGGTACAGATTGCATATACTGCTTTTTAATTAGGTTTTTCCAATATCTGCAAACCATTGCTGTCTTGTGGACAGTATATAGATTATAAGAATAATGTTGTAGCAAGTGAAACACAAGTTACATTTCTCCATTTATCAGCCTTTTTCCAATTAGATTTTCATGGACTTGAAATCCAATGTTCAAAACTCATACTTTATGCTTAAACTTAAATAACATTAAAATAGCACCAAATCAATGGTAGTATCTCTTAGAAGTTGCAACTTGTAACTTATCATGATAAATCCACTGCAGGGAACTAGAAGAAAATTAAAAACATGCTGTATTTCTGTCTTCGGAAAATTTCTTTTCACCTTGGTTGCTGCCTTATACTGTATAGGATAACTAAAACCACCAAATTTTCCCTGTCCCTATGTTTTGAATTTATATCCTCAATGCTACAGATGCAACTTTTATGCACTTCAGTCTATTTGTGTTTACAGGACTGTAGTTTTGACAATCATTTCAGCTAGAATGTGGAAGAGAAGGACCCTGTTTCTCTTCTTGCTTTTTGCCTTACACTGTGTCATCCTGGCACCTTGTCCCTGCATCCACCCCATGGAGGTGAAGTTGCCATGGTGACAGCACACCCTGTTATGGTCACAGACCCCATAACTACAGAAGCCTCAGTCAGTTTGGAAGTTTTAGTAGGTTTTTATTATCTGTGATAATAAAAATCTGTGCTGCCCAGCCGTCCACCTGGTCTGTCCTCACAAGCCTGGTGAAAACTCTCAATGGAGTCACTTTTGGAACTTTTCACTTCCACCCTTTGAGATGATATGTCTTAGATTAATCCTGGATGGTCAGTCACCTTCCCAGCCCACGGCACAGAAAGTGGCTGGTCTGTCAACCTTCCCATAGACTTGCCAGGCAGTTGGGCAAAAACTAAGTTGATATTTGCTTTTCAAAAAAATGTGTGGAGCAATAATAAAGTGTAACTGCAGAAGAATAAAACTGAAGTTACCTACACTGCATTGTAAAACCTGATTTTCTTTCTGTTAAAGCAGCTAATTTTTGGTGATACCTTACTGACAACTCTGCTCACTTTTTTTCAGACATGGAGATGACTTGATTGTGACACCATTTGCTCAGGTAGGCACAGCTTTTCCATATTTCTCACATGACCTTGTAATTCAAAGATAAAATGGTCAAACCAGTTTTCTATATTATATTATTATGCTTGTTTTCCATATGATATGATATGATATATGTTTGCATGAAACAAGTGTTTCAACAGGAAATCACAAACCTCCCACTCTCTTTCTTAACTGTACCTCTCTTTCTTAGCGCTTTTTGATTATCTGAAAAGTTGAAATGCAACAGCATGATAAACACCTTTGATCTCTTCCCAAATACTGTAGCAGGCAGTCATGATTAAGATAAACCTCTGATTCCTGTTATTCTGATATTTTTGTAATTACAATTTCTCCATTTGAACATCTTTTATGCATTAACTACAATGAGATTTTAAGACATGAGATAATTTTTTTCTCAGAACAGTTATGTTCCTTTACAAAACCGAGTTTGTTTTTTCTATTCAGATTCTGTTTTATAAAATACCAGCTCAAAATTCTTCATAATTCAGATAAAAATGCCACAATTCTTCACAATAGAGCTGCCTTATCAAGTCTGAAAAGTTAACATTGCTATTTCTTGAACTCATTATGATGGTTTTTACTTCAAAACAGGAATTATAGTCAAATCACTGCAATTATGAAGTCATATGTGATTGAAGGTGAATGGAAAGAGAAAGGTTGAGTCATACAGCAGTCTCAAGTAAGAATAAAGTGGCAGCTTCAGCCATATTATGCAAGTTGCTTTGGTTGAAGAATAAACTGATAAATAATATTAATTTAATAGTTCATTATATATTTAATTATATTGCAAACAGATGTGATGTTTATAAGACTCAATCAAGCCCTTAATATTAATAAAATCATAATCTTTTACTAGCAGAGAAAAGATTAAGCAAGGACCTTTTATAAAAGTACTCTGAAATCTCCACTGTACCCCGAACATGCAAATTTGATGACATATATAATTCTTTTTAATCTATGCTGAGTTAAAAATAAGTCAGTTTGCTTCCTGATTTTTGGAAAGAAAAATATAACAAAATTAATACTGTTTAGTTAGCCAAATGTACTTTTTATTATCTTAATTCATTTGGAAATTACCTGGAATAGCTTGAACACTGCCAATCATTGCTAGTTCTTACATAACTTCTGTTAAAAGCTTTCATTAATTTATTCTTTTTTCTTCAATGTCCTTCAATTTCCTATTCCCTTCCTACCTCCTGTATACATTTAAGGTTCTATGAAAAGAAGGTTGTGCACTCCTCAGCTCAGATCTCTGAAACCAAATTTCCCATTGCTGCTTTTGTTATTCTTTAGATGGGTCCACCAGGAACCCAGCCCAGTCTGGGCTGAGGATAACAAAAAAAGGTCAATTTATACAAAGATGTACCAGTGATTAGTGTTGCTGCTTTCTCCCATTTCCAATCAACTCATGGTTCCTCATCAGCTGAACTACCTCTCCCTGACAGAGAGGTTCATCTTATTGTCCTCGCATGGCACAAAACTTTTTGCATGTTACCCAGCTGCCTATGCCACTTATAACAAGACACTTCTTTCCACCACATTCATTGCCTGTTATCTTGCATGTAATTAAGTCCAGAAAGGAAGCAGTTCACCTATGTCATCTTCCCCAATGAGTAAAACTTGTAAGAGCCTGCAGACTTTTCCTGCATTCTCAAGGGTTAACTTCCTCTTTCTCTGGTCTTCTGTACTAAGTTCCCAAATGAACTGTGTCTGTTAGAGGAGACACTTACTTTTTTACTTTTCCGTGAAGTCTCAACAATCTCATTCCCTCTGTCCTTTGGAGTTCATGGGGACTGAACTACAAATGAAGATTCTGTAATTGTTTCTTATGCATGAGGTATTAGGGTTGAATGGGCTATTATCTTCCAAACTCAAATCCTTTTATTGCTATTTTAAAGAAATAAGTGGAATTATGTAAAATCTTTCCTCCCCTGCAAGTCAGCCTGCCTTCAAACAGATGAGTTGTTTATGAGGGGAACAAAAAATAGAAATAAACTACTACCTTTGTATTACAGACATATTATTGTTAAATAATAGCCAAAGGTTCCAGACTAACCGTCCCCGGAAACCTTTTACAGTGGTTTTGCAACGTGCTTTCCATTTTCTTTCAGCACAGTGGAGCAAAGATAGATCAGTCTCACTTGTGCAGAAATTTATACTGAAACCACTTTTTTGTTCCAGGTTCTGGCCAGCCTGCGTACTGTCCGGAATAACTTTGCTGCATTAACCAATTTACAAGACCGGGCACCCAGCAAGTGAGTGTCATTTTTTGGCCACTGAAATTTTTGCAGTGATACTTTTTTAATGTAAGCTAAGAACACAGACAGATGTCACAGATTTCAGTTTGTGCCACCAAACCTGCATAAAACAGTAAGATGTTATCATTGGTAATTAAGACAGCAGCCTCCTTGCCTTCTAATTGATCTTGACATTGTTGTCCTTGCATAAAAATGGAGTAGTTTTTTTCACCTTGTATGATTTTAGATAAACTAGTCATATGTCTAAGATCATTCAAAGATGATCATTCAGGCACAGTCTGAGCTTTGCAAATGAAATGGGGTAAGCAGACAGCTGCACTCACTGGCAGCATGATCTGAACCTAGAGCTCTACTTCACTCAGCCAGGGTAGTGAGTGAAGTACTCACTACTAACTATCCTCAGTTAGTTTGTAACTGTAAGTTAGGCATTATAAATATGGTCTTGCTCCAGTCATGTAACAGCATCACAATTAACACTAAGGTTTGTTACACTGGCAAATATAGTGAAGTCATTTCCCTCACCCAAAACATGCATCTCGACACCTAGAAGTAGTTAGCATTCCAAAGAAAAGAATGCCTTTGTATATGTTTGTAAGTCACATTTCAAACTATGTATAAGCTCTAGATGTGATTATGCAGGCTTTTAATAAAACTGTGAGTTCCTAAAATATGCCTGTCCTGGAGTTCCCAAATAAATTCCCAGGTAATGTATTTTCTGTTATATTGTTCAAGGATACAGTCATCAGTGAATTTATAAGGCTTAAACCTTTTCTCATTTCCTTTTTAATAGAAGATCACCAATGTGTAGCCAACCATCTATTAACAAAGCAACAATAACAGGTAAGAATAATTTATTTATAAAAAAATCTAACTGAAAAATGCATTTTATATTAAGAAACATATATTGCTTCATATCCTTATATCACTTCACATAGTTATATCAGTTTTATTAAAGAGATTTTGAGTATTTGAGTCTTAGAGACTCAAACTGTTGACTTTTAGTGTTCTATCCTGCTGAATTCTGATTTCTATTTTATTATTGCAGTTTGAATTTAAGTTATTTCTCAGTTCTTTTTCCTTTTATACCGGTGTGTGATTATGTCATGTATACATTAATTAGTAACTTTTTGCAAGGAAATCTAGGTGATAAAGCTGATATGAGGAATCCATTAAATTCATTCAGTTCAGTTCCATACAATTATATTCATGTTTCTTTTGGGACATAAGAGTTCTCTAGCTATATAGACATAAAGTCTTCACTTTAAAAGTGCTTATGCTATGAGGAGAAATTTTTGAAACTGGATTTTCTGCTTTAGAATTGTAAATCCTATTTTATAACATTTGTATGAGAAAAAAGAATCCTTTTAAAAGATAGTATTATTTCTAAGGAAACATTGACTTAAAAACAAGACTAGCAGTGTAAATTACATTAATATTTTGGAAAATTTTATCTCACACTACTTTTGGTTATTTTGATGACAAATTTGTCTTGGATGTCTTTATGGAAATACGCTTTATTGGCCCTCATATTCTTTTGCATCATGTCAATTCACAATTCACACTATGTAATTTTCCAGGTAGTTACTTTCTCTACCATGTTCTGTCAGAGTGAAAGAGCATTTGCTTTTCTTCCTGATGAAAGTATACAGAAACCTACTAAACAGGTGAATTATTATTTAAACCACAACCAGAAATGCAATTTTCAATAATTTTCAAAATACTTTATCTTTTTATTTGAATTATACATTTGTATCTCTAAGGAAAAGTGGTATTTCAGCACTTTTGAGGACCAGTGTGGCTTTTCAATATTCAATAGTTTCTGCATTTATGCTCTGGAATGTCTTAAGGGTTTTTTCAGCTAACCTCTCACCTTAAAAGGACCCAGTCTTGGCAGTTCTGTACAGTTTTATTCTCCTAAGAACTCATGCAATACGAACATTTGTGTGTGGGGCTCATCAGGGGACAGAAGGTTAGATGTTTATATCTGTTTTATAAGCAGAAAGGCATCAGGTTTATTAAATAATAGAAAGAAAATATAGCTATATATGTAGACCAATTATATTCACGAGCCTTTGTTAACATATTTCGTGAAGAGGTAATTTTGGGCACTGGTTTCAAATCCTCTCTATAAACCATTTCAGTTATGGATATTTTATCTATCTCTGATTTTGTGGTTTGTCTAATAGCAGAGTAATCCAGAAATATGTTATCTGGAGACAGAGATACTCAAAAACAGGGCTCTTTAACTCCAAGGGTCTAACTTTAGAAAACCTGTAACACAGTGAAATTAATGACAATAAAAGTAAATAGGATATCCAGAAGAGAAGGTGTGCATGCATGTGAGCTCTATCTTACATGATCTCCCACAGCTATTTGGGAGATCAAAGGTCAGCTTCTTTTCTCCAGCAGAAGCTGTTCAGACAGCAGGACCCAAGACACTCTCTGTTGGAAGATGCTGTTGCTCTTTTTTAATTCTCCCTGATCTGAAGATTTCCATTCAGTTAATTCTCAGAGTGTACTCTACACATCAGGCATAAATTATCTGAAATTTTAAAGTTTAAAAGGAAGGTACTTCAGTCAGCTCTCTAATTAATCTAGAAAATTATTTGCCAATAAATTCAAAGGCAGCAAGAAAAGGCAAAGAATACTAAGGATAATTTAATCTAATTTAGTTTAGTCTGATTTCTCAGAGATGATGCTGGAATTGCTGTGCCCAAATTATGCATTGAATTGAATGACCTAGAGCCTGTGTGCACTGGATATAAGTGGTTGAAAGACTTTTATGATGCAACAAAGATATTAAGCCACTATAAAGCATGAAAATGGCTACAATTAGTTTTGACTATTGAATGGAAATTGAGGCTGGATACTATTTTGCATGCAAGTGTTTTCCTGTTCTTATTTATAAGCTGTTTTTCATATTTCCATAGCAACAAATTTCATAGCATAGGTGCAGAAATATGCATAGGTTTTTTTTCTTGGGCCATATGGAATCCTATTAAATCTTTTAATCTAAAACAATTAACAGCAGTATGTTAAGAAGAAAGATATATTAAAAACACTTTTGCTACATTTCACAGAATAATTGAAAACACTTTCAGATAGTACATAGTTATTTAATTCTTGTGGGGAATGTTCAAAATTTAGCTTATACAAATCCTTCCTCCTGGTTTTGCTGTTCTCAGAATTTGTGTCATGGAGTATCCAGAACAATACAGCTAGGGTAGAGCCTCATTATGTCATCCAGATGTCTCAGCGTGCAATCTCAGCAAGAACTTATTGGCAAGATAGCAATCTAGGTGTCTGGAGGGCACAGTGTCACTAAGCTATATTGATAATAAACCAGAAAACACACACTTAGAATAGAGATTTTATATTCCTAAATTTCCTGGAAGACATGTCTCTGGGAAGATTTTCTCTGAGCAGAGGGATGATCATAGAAGGGAACTACTGCAGAAGGTATGGGGGTACCAACAAGGGAAACATGGAAAGCAGTGTGGTAAAGCCAAGTAAGTAAAAAAACAAGAGCAAAATTCTCTCATTTGCTATTTTAAGAATTCACCATGAGGCATTAATCTGTGACAGCATATTTTAACAAGGAGGTAAGAAACTTTGACATGTAGAAGTGAAGCAGCACAAGAATCCTATGTTCAGAGTCTTAGAAGCAACAGCCACCATGGTGGCCTTAAAATTTATGGTGATTGTTCAATGTAAATATGTGGAAGCTGTGATCAAAATAAAGTCTTTTCCATTCAGTATATCCACGTGAATCCCTTCTGGAAACTGTTGAAAGAAGCTAATGAGTATCAGTGACATACAATATTATGTTCATTATCAAACAACTATGCTATAGCATGCTGACTGTTCCTTTTTCAGACAAATTACGGGGTAGGACGTGGAAGCTTTTCATGTAACAACAGAATTTTTAGATGGCAATTTTTGTACTTGCTTTGGACTCTAGAATGTAAATATCAGTTTTAACTATAGTCAGCGTGAATAAGCAGAGATGAAAACTTCTGTCAGAAGTCTTCAAACGGATATGAATTTCCTACAAGTGCTGTCTCTCTCTCTCATGACTGAGATCAGCCTCAGATAACTGGGTTTGCAGAACAGTTCTGTCATGCTTGGTGTTCTGTACTTCAGCCAAAAGAGGGGTTCCTCTCACTATGAATCATATTTTCTGGTGTTCCATTTCAAACTGACAGTAATTCTCATATCACAACCAGTGAATTACAAATATTTTGTTTCCAAAAAAATGAAACTACCTGTGACTCAAGGATTGAGCTTGTCAGTTTTATACAACAATTCTGTCCACTTATCCAGTCCACACATTCAGAGTTTGCTGATGACAATATTGTGACAATGTTGAAGGCCTTGCTGAAGTCATTGCATGAAACCTCATCTGTAGTACTGCAACTAGATCTGGGAGCCCCTTCTTGAGCCAGTCCAGAGGAAGCCATGATCAGAGATGATCAGAGATGGCTGGAGCACCTCTCCTGTGAGGATAGGCTGATGGAGCTGCATTGTTCTGTTCAGGGAAAGGGAGGTTCCAGAGTGATCTTATTGTGGCCTTCAAGTACATAAAGGGGCCTACAGGAAAGCTGAAAAGAGACTCTTTACAAGGGTTTGTCATGACAGCACAAGGGAAATGGTTTTAAGCTGAAAGAGGGCAGATTTACGATAGACACTAGGAAGAAACTGTGAGGGTGGTGAAGCCCTGGAATAGGTTGCCCAGAGAAGTTCTGAATGCCCATCCCTGGAAGTGTTTGAGCAGGAGCTCTGAGCAACCTAGTTGCTTCTAAAAATTAGATGATTTTTGAAGTCACTTCCAAACCAAACAATTTTATGATTCTATGAATTCAAATAGTAGAGAAAAAGAAACTGATTTATATTTTGCATTCCAGAGCATATTTAGATTTAGCTTCCATTGAGATCCCTCCATCTGATCCATGAAGTTCAGTAACCAGGTAGCAGTGCAGATGTCCTATGTTTTAGCTAGTTTCAGCTGTCTCATTTTTGCAAAACAAGCTTACAATTTTTCTAACAAGAGTTTTGAATATAGGATTGATAATCATCAGCTTTAGTGGATTTGAACAGTTCTAGTAGAGTTGAACCAGTTCCCCATCATTACTGTGAACAGCACTTTAAAGTGACCTGTATATTGTTTTCTTAAGCAATAAATAATTTGTTTCATAAATAGGACAGTTTTGAAAAACAGCCATATTCACATCAGGTACTCTTCAGTTAATCATTAAAAAGCCTTATCTAGGTCATGATAACCAGACAGAGGGTTACCTCACTTATAGCCTTATTAGCCACAACACAAAATCATACTGTTTTGAGATACAGGGCACAGATTGAATTCAGACTGAAATTCATTCATACATCCTCTGACCCACAGTAAGTAAAGTATGCAGCTAACAGGTAAGGCATCAGAGAACCTGGAATCTGCTCCCCACATAGACTTCCACAGTCATTTACTCATCTTTGGGGCTGAATTAGCAGCTTTATCCCTTGCACATGCAGACTGTGATCATTTGATATTAATAAATGGAAGCCATAGTTGCTTGCATTCAGAAAAAAAATCTCAGTGTCATAGCTGGTGCAGCATTTTCATGTGCTACAATTGAAAAAAAAACAGCTGCTTAAATGGAGTAAATTAGTAAACCGGTTTTTCTTTTCCAAAAGTATTGTCTCCAGTTCAGCCACATTAGTTTAGGGAAGAGGTTGTTATTAACAGGATACAGCTGTGAAGGTTTGCTGAATGCTTTCTTCATCTTTATTTGCAGAGTTTTAGTTAATGTTACAAAAGTTTTCTAACTGAGAGTACTCAAATGAAACCAATATGTAGGGCTCTTTTAGAGTCAGTGGGCTTGTAAAACAGTGATTATCCTTCTTAAGGCAGAAGAGCAGCAAGAGGACTGCCCTGGTTTTGAACCAGATAAGTTGTTGATGTATCATCTCACATTCAAGGAAGTGAATAAAACCAGGGTGCAAAATAGAATACTCTCTGTATTTGAATACTGCTCTTCAACACTGATACCTGATAGGAAAATATATAAGCTTTCATAAAATAGAAAGTTAAACAAAGAAATATAAGTCATAGTTTATGAAAGTCCTCACAAGAATGCCCATGTAATTAAAACTAGCCACATGATTAAAAAATTAGAAAATAAAAGTACATGTTTTGCAATATTTGGACAACAACACTTGGCCCTTATGTATTAATTCAATTTTTCAACAGTCTGTTTCATTAGAAATATGTGGTGGTTATTAAAGTACATAGAGACTTGAATGCATCATAGGGCTGACCTCTGCTTGTTATCTTCATCTAGCACTTCAGGTTCGCCTTTCAGAAGACTGCAGTGCAGTAGAGCCTTGATTTTGTTAAAGACTCACACATTTTAGAGTTAGACTAGGTATCCATTTAAAAAGAAAACATGAGAGGCATTATCAATCTCCACATCAATAATCTGACATGCAACCGCATTGTGTCTTACTTTCAAATTGGTCTCATATTTTGCTGCACCAGTTAAAGTCTTTATAATCACCATTTCACCCAAACTGTCCACTTCACTGCAGAGAGATAGGGTGACAAGCTTCATGCCCTTCTTCTCCTTTTGGTCTGTGTCACTTACAGGCACTGGTAGTGTAGCACAGCAGAGAACTGTCCATGACCCCGTGCTGTATCTATTGTATTCATAACAACAGCAGAACAACTGAAAAGAGTGAAATGTGGTTTGGTTTTTAGGACAGAGAAGAATTGAGAAGAATTGTTGAGAACAGTTGAGAAGAATCAGAAATGAAAACAGGACTCTTGCCTGTGTCATTTTTCTCATTCCTATTACAAATGCTGTCCTTTTTCAGATGAATATAGAAAATAAAACTGAAGCAGATATGGTTTCTGGTATGACTCTTCGATGCAGTCTGAGTGTACTTTCTTTTCACATCTTCATCCAGCTTCTGACATTTCTGATCAGGGACACATTGTCACCTGTCCAGTTTAAAAGATATATTTGAAAGTAGATATTTTTGTCCTTTAATAGATTACTGAGAAACGGACCTATTCAAGCCTATTCACTTTCCTGAGTATCCATTTGAAAATTAAGGGCTATATTGAAATCTCCCGTTAAAGTGCCTAAGTTCTGCTTTTATTATATGCCAGTTCCTGAGTAAGGAGCCTGAACACAGCAGTGAATCAGAGCAGCCAGAAGCCATGGTCAGACAGCCCTGGAGACAAGATACAACAAAGCCTCCCTTTTCTCTCTCTGGCCTCATGTATTTTGCAAAATGACTCATCTTCAGCTGAAAGGTGTAATTCCAGGTCTGGTGGTAGGAACATCCACTTGTGCCTACCGCACTTTCTCAGGAACTCAGGATCAAAAATTTCAAGAATAAGCAATGCCTAAAATTCAGTCTACTGCTCTCAGGCCAAAAGTTATAACACAATCATTCAAAAAGACTTCTTTTTCCAATGTCAGGTAACTCACCTCAGAAAACACTTGATAGTGGGAACTGGTCAACATGGAAGCAATTGGTTAGAATACAGTCCTGTATTCAGACATGCCTGTATGTGCTTCATCTTGTGCTTATTGCTTCCATCTGGCTCTCTTGGTAACATAATGCCTCTGAACAACGACATGCACTCTTTTTAGCCAGGAGAGGCAAGCAGGTGTCTCAGAGAATCCACGTTAAACCCCCCACACTGCCTATGCAAAATCTTGAGTTATCCAGTGGACATTACTTTAATGTCACTATCTTTGAGAGACTCCAGCAGTGGGCAGCCTGGCATAGTCCCAAATATTCTAAAGTATTCTCTACCAGCAACTTTCCAGGGAACAGCTGCAGTGAAAATTTGACCAAATTTGACTTTGGGACTTTAGGATGAATGATGGGAGGCAGTGAAAGAGCCAGTACTTCTTACTGAAGAACTTTCACTTGGAATGTTAAATGTCCTAGGGTATAATAGGGTATAACTTTTAAACTTCCTAATCAAACCCAAACCATAGTTCTCAGCCAGGTTTTCATAACTCAATCACTCTTGCTTTCTGTTAATATACTTGTAAAATTTATGTGCTTTTGTCATAGTCCTTGATCAGTTCACCATTAAGAAGATTCATCTCTATCTTGAGTAGAGGCAAACTTTTTTTTTACTAGGAAAGCCTTAATTTTATTCCCTTTATGAAGATATATTGTGTTAAAGAAGTAGCTGTGGTCACATGCATATAGTTTTAGTTGTTATGAAATATTAAAAATTATTTCCAAATATTTGCATTAAAATACTAGCATAAAATTGCCAATCTGATTCATTATTCCTTTTGCAAACAGTAAGTTAATTTCTGAAATTATATTTATATTTGAATATTTAAATTAGATATGAATTTGGATGAATGTTAATCCAAATAAAAAAATATGAATCAGAGACAAAAATTTAGGATCAATCTCTTAAATCATATGATACTATGATAAAAATAAAATGTGTCTTTTCTTAGTAAAAATAATGGGCAAGGTAGGATTATATCCAAGTGAGTGAATTTTGCCACCATGTAACTAACTACTATGCTAAAAAATGTGAATTAAATCAGGAGCATTTTACAGAAATGACTATTGGATTAGCAAGCATTTAAAAATTCCCCTTGTACCAAGTAAGTTTTATAGTAATAGCTTACATAGTGCAAATACTGTAAGAACTATTGACTAATTAGTCTTTAATTTAAGGACTACAAAGATTATTAGGACAAAAAGCCTAGGAAGAAGTCTGTGCCATAGAAATGAAGTTTAAAATCAAACAAGAGTTTCAAAACCCTGAAAGCTGAGCTAACTGTTATTAGAGGGATTTGGGAAGGTTCAACAGATGACGGTAGGCAACTAATGGGAAAGAAAACAGAATTTGTTTGGGGAATAGTCTTTAATACTGTTGTTATCATTATTCTAGATGTTGTTGGTTTTGCTATTAATATTACTGGGTTTGAACTCTGCTTTTCAAAGGGAAAAAGAAAAATCAGAATTTTGTGTAGGTTCATTCTTTAAAATTGGATTTCAGCTAATACAAGCAATGGCAAATGATACCTGACCCCCAAATTGTGTTTTGCTGTTACTCTGCTCTTTCTGTTTCCTAAACAGAAAGGGTTCTGTATGTATGATCATGATCTATTTCAGCATTTCAGCTGCAGAAACATATTTCTTCTCTAGTGGCATACTCTTTTTTTTTTTCTTTTTTTTTTTGTGGGGGGGTGAGTTTGGGGTTGAAACTGAAAGCATATTTTGCTTATCAGATATAAGATAAAGAGAATCTGAATCTCATCAAATTTCATCTCATGAATCTCATCACCATCTCATCTGTTTGAATCTCATCATTCCTCATTCAGTCTTCTACTCTGAAAACCTGTCACAAAAGGAGGTGAGCAGAGAAGCATTAGCCCCACAGCAATATATGTTTTTACAGTTTAAGGTGGTATTTTCAAAGAGCAAGCAGCTGACTTAGTTACTATGCATATGCCTTTCACAGGGGAAAACAACAGACAAGTGGTTAAACCATGCAATTATCACATGATTCTGCTGCTTGGAAATGTATGTAAGCATGTTACCTATCAGCCACAGATATTCACTGTTTGCCTTGATTCTGCTGATTCTCAGGATGAAATCTGTGAGTTTTTGCTTTGCTGAGTAAAATCTGAAACTGCAACACCAATCAGTCTTTTACAACACTTTTCTTTGGTCTAGTGCAGTTTCACCCTCCTTGCAGATTTGTTCGCCCTTGACTTATGTTTTGTGTTTGGGTTATTTCTTCCTTAGGAGGCAGAGGTGGCTGTATGATATGATGCAGTGAAAAACCATGGTGTGGGAAGACACTAGGAAAAAAAGGCTCCTTGTAGCCTCAGTACACACTCCAAAAGAGAAGGGCACAATTCTCTTCCACAAATACAATTATCTAAACATACCTATTGAAACAGAGTTGATGCTCAAAGGAATAAATGTTGCCTCAACAAATAATATGCTTGTGGTAAGACCTAGTGTGCTGAAATAAATGCCAGTTCTATTTTGAAAATTCTTTTCTCCAAAAACGATGTTAGTCTTCTCTATAAAGAAAGGGCTATAAAAATTGCACTTATTTTCCAATAATTTCTTTGAAGATTGTTTTTTAAATAGGTATTTCTACTTCATAGTATACATAAGTTTACTTACATGCATTTATTTTTGAAAACTGTATGTTTTGATGGTTCTGTGACAGGTCAGTTCTGCAAGCATTATTTCCAATCACAGCTCAATCCTGCAGAGCTGAATTATAAAACATCAACTATGGCCACATTACCTTTGCAAAATAAAAAAGGTTTACATAAGTATTCTAAAGACTTAAATCCCATAGAATAAAATCAAAATGTAATAAAATTTTTTTCACAAATATAGTTCTTTCAAAGTAACAACTCCATCAGTCAAAAATACACCACAAAAATCCATCTTTCTCCTAATTAAATGTAATAAATGTAATTTTTTTCCATTTGCTCAGCAAGTTGGTGGAAAAGGCAGATTACCATTTTACTGTCTGAGTTACTGATTAGCTCCTCATCTGGCAGTGCTTAGATAGGGCTATTTGGAAGCTAGTGTTAATATTCAGTGCAGGGAAAGAGCTTCCCTAGTGCATTCTCAGGCAGCCTTGCAAATGAGGACATTTACAGGACATATAAATACCCCTCAGCTCATTCTGTTTAGTAAGCAGACACCAACAGAAATGAAGAAGTACAGTGTGGCTTTCATCCACCAGAATAAATGCTCAGTGTTAGTAAATGCCCAGGCTAAAACCCACAGCCTCACAGACTCATGGCTAGCACATTAAAGATGGTTTACCTATGATTGGATCCCAAGCGTCAGTAGGAACATGGCTTTAAATAAAAGTTATCACATATATAAAGTCCATACAGGCCAGTTTCCTTTTTACAATATTGGTTCTAGAAGTTCTGAAACTTGTCTCGGTGTTGTGTTGCTGGTTGTGCTGCTGGAGGATGGACTGTTACCAGGTGACTGTCAGGATCATTAACAAAGGCTTTAGTCTGTGCAACCGGCACAGAAAGCTAAAGCATGAAGTGTTTCACAGAAAAGATTGTTCCCGACATCTAATGTTTAATTGTGAAGTTGTTTAGCAGAGAAACAGGACTCAGAAAATAGTGTTCTTGACTTTGTTCACTTCATGCAGTCAGTTCTGTTAGCTGAAGCTGTAAACAAAAACTGGCCTTTAAAGGGGCACAGGAGGATGGAAGGGCTTCTGCTTACTGTATTCTGTAAAGGCTTTCTCCATTAAGAGGATGTTATGCAAGACACTAACATGGCCATTATTTCTATCTGGCATATTTCAAGGCTTCAATTTTTGCTTCTTGCCATTGCAGAAACCCCTGTAATATGAAAACATAGCTTCAGTGCTACTAACACTTTGGAAATGTGTAGCTGAGAATAAATGTCAGGCTCTCCTTTGAAGTGGAAATGTCAGCACAACAGACTGTAGTCCATCACAGCTGTAAATGGGAACAGAATTTTAAGGCTACTTCTAAGGCAGAGAACATGGATCAGTCGTTGCCATTGTGCATGAGTCTGTTAGGTGGATTTATCTGAAACACCCAGCTAAAAATTACATTTGAGGAAATAAATATCCTCTGGCTACTAATTCTGCGGGAAAAATATGTATAATCTGGCTTCTAATTTTAAAATTGTTTTACTTTCAAATTTTAGTATATTGTTATCCTATCCTGAGACACTCTAGATATTTACTTTGTATAGGTAGAAACCTGCCAGTTCAATGTTCTACTTCTTTCATACTGGACTCAAAATCATTACAAGTTTATTTTTTAAAATATACTAGTAAGAAGAATAAATTTTAAAATGTTATTCACTCCTGTA